TTATGGCTTATGTATATTTCTGATGAGGTGACATTGGTTAGATATGATGGTAATCTAAGAATGATCAGTATCACACCCTAGTATAGGGATGGCAGAAATCTTATTGGCATAGAATTTGACTACTTGATCTTGCTAAACATCCTAAGTTGAAACTGAAGCTGAATAGTAAATAGGGCCAAGTATTTGTGCAAAATGCGAACTTCACTTCAATGAGTGCATGCAATAAGGAATATGTCAGGAATGATTAAAGGTGTTGGGAGCTGATTCTGGTGTTATGCCTTATACTAATCATTCACTATAGTCTGTAATGTACGTGTGCTGCCTGACACAGCAGTAGCCGGCATTTTCTTCAGACAGGGTTGCTGCCTTGTGACTTGATAAGAGGCCTGAGTTGTTGCACATAAGCAAATGCTCCCAACTCCCACACGGAGGGCCCCCGTGGAGGGAGTCTTGAGGCCATGAGAACAAGAAGAAGAACTCTCCCAAGAACTGGCCCCCAATTGATGGTTGGTAGTCAATGATGGGTAAGACTCCCCATGGGGGGGTGACCTAAAACAGGCACAACTGTGGGGGCCAGGGAGGAGCCGCCACCTGGGATTGAAACCAAGAAGCACTTGAAATGGCTGCATTGTTTTTTGTTGTCTATCTCGGCCTTGGCTTTTGAGCTCTTTCGGGCACCTTAATTTTAGTAACTGTTTTGAGGTCTGAGACCATGGGAAATTGTTCCCTTTGGAAACAACTTCGGAATTGACTGATATCGCTGCTATGCTCAGATGCTCACGTAAAAGGAACTAACCTTGGGTCTGGGCAGCATAATTAATAAAGCAACTGGTGCACTGGTCACCTGAGTCATTCTCATATCCATGTGTGTCTGTGTCGTTATTTTATGTTCTGTGTCATCCCCTGTCTTGTAATCGGGCCATGTCAAAAGGGACACCCGATTTTAATGAGAAAGAAAACCCAGCATTCCCTGTGTAGTTCCAAAGGGAGAACTTTTCCAAATATCCATGATTTTATATTTCTCAAGTGGACCTGTTAAAAATTCAATATCTCAGAGTCTTTGATTCTGTGTCTAGGTCATGTGTCATTTATCTAAGATTTATGGTGATATAAAATCTCAGGTGTAACAATGGTTAGTCTGATTAGAAATTCAGCAGCATTATTGCCCAGTAAGGTCAAACATCAAATATTAATATTTAATTGCATTGAACTCCTCCACGTATTTAAAGGAAAGTTGGGAAGAATAAATATTCATGCTTGAAAATACTTTTGAACATGTGCAAAATAGATCAACACTGAATACCACAGATGGCACTGTCACTGGAGGCTAATAAAGTAAATAACAGGAACCATAAGAGATCGTCGATAATAAAGGGGGAAAATGAAAGAGCTCAGATCAAGGCAGCATCAGACAAGTGCAGAAGCACACACGTGAACTCACCCCACATCTACGGAGAAATACAGTAGGAAATAACCTGGGCATTGATGGAAAACCACAAAGCCCCATCACTAATCAGACTTTCTTCTCCCCCACTCATGATTTTACAAGAGAGTCAGCTGAGGATCAAATGCCCATAGTTTAAGTGACCCACTTAAACATCACTGAGAGCTACTGAAAGCATTATGTAGAAAGCTATAGACAACAGTAAACTTATTCTGAGCAAGTCTTAATCCATCATTTTCATTGATGGCTAAAGAAATGGCCTCTTGATATTTTGTCTGACATCCTATAATGTAGTGGCCTTGAAACTTTTTTATTATAATGCATGAGAAATACACATTTGTATACCCTTTGATAGGCAAATGTATGCATGAGTGCGTGTATGCAATCTATTTGCATATTCTATGTGCAGTGCATGCTATTTCCTAACTTATTTTATGTCAAGTCTTCAAAATGCTGTCTGTGGCCAACAACATTAATCTTACGACCCACTATGGACTAAAAGCTACAGTTAGGAAGATTTAATGTTTTCACAGAACATCCTCAATAATTGCTCCTATAGAAGTATATAGAAACACATGTGAGAACCCCATTTTATCCTCCTCCTTGGAAATTCAGTATTTTCAGACAAAAATTCATCCTTGAGGTGGGCCACTAGGACCACCACAAAATACATAATTACTGATGAAATGTATGTTCCATCTGCACATGTCAAGTGTCACTGGACAGACAGGAACTCACAAGCAAAAGGGTCAGCAAGTACATGTGGTCTCTTGTTCTCTTGGCATCGTGTGGAGGCTTTGCTTGGGCTGGAGCATAGCTGAATGTCATGCACTGCTGTGCTGTAGCAAAGGCACCTCCATTTCCCTACTGTGCTCCCATGTTATGGGGCAGGTATGAGAGTTACATTTAACATGGTAGGTGGTAAATAATTTCACCTCAATCACAAAGCAGCCTGAGCTTGGTTTACAGTACTCTGAAAATTGCCATCTGGCCAGAATCTGGGGACTTTGTCCCACTCACCTACCATGCTGTGGAAATCTAAGTTTGTTCATAGATTCTTGGACAATGGGAAGCTCTAGTCATGTGGGAAACAGAGCCCTCCTTCACGTAGAGGGGCAGCTGTCAGTTCTAGCTCTAAGTCCTCAATTAGCGGCCCAGACATAGTTCTTAGGATCATGTATCAGGCAATTCCTCTTGTCTCTACAATATCTTTCATACTTTCTGCTGCTTCCTGTCAGTCACCAGAGGTACATCACAGCTTTCTCCCATCCAAATCCAATTATGATCCTTTGAACGCATTCAGTTGCTCAGAGGTTAGATCCCATAGGAATGGCAGGAGGAAGCTAAAAAGTGACATCAGGTTAAAGCCTGCCCTTTGAAGCTGGAGTGGAGCAACTCAGGAACCATTAGAGCCAGGTTCTCATGAAGCACAAACATCCAGACATCTGACAGCGTGAATTTGACCATTTTGCTAATCAGTTGCTCACAGAAATTCTAAACTCAAAAATCACCATCCCCTATTCTTTGAGAACTGAGTGCATGCCACTAAAAACTGGAGTTAAGGGGGGGGCAATAAAATTTGTCATGATAGTGTCCTTACTGAGAAAGAACAAAAGAGATCAATCGTAAACATAAACCATAAGCTTATCAAAAGACCAGGATTACGACTTCTCTCACTGTAAAAAAGTTTGAACCACTGTTCCTTGTATTCAAGCTGCGCTATAGGGAGACAGAGAGACTGAGAAACCTCCCTTTCTCCACTCAAGGTATTTCCTTGGAAGAAGCCCAGCTCGACGTAATATATAGCAGTCAGTTCACAATATATCCTAATTTATTTATTATACAGAAATCTACTTTCTCATCAGGGACTCCTCCCTGTCCTCCCCTTCCATATACTACTTCCTACACTAAACTACTAGGTTACATAAAAGTGGTAAGGACAGAAATCATGCATATGGCTGTCTACATTAATGAGAGTTAATATTCCACCGGCTTCATCAACATAAATTTAGTCATACAGGAATCTCTTGCCTAGGAAAATAAAAGTTGCAAAGAACTTTATTCATTCCAGCAACTGTCTGAAACATCCATCAACTCCTCAAAAGAAAATGTCAAACTGTTAGAGTAGGAGACTAGTGAACAGGGCTGATAGCAGATTGCAGGGACTTGAAGCTTTAGGTGCAGGTGTTAAAGTAAACAACCCTCAGGCAGAAGCTTACTAGAAGGGATGATAACTGCAGCCAAGAACTTGCTTCAACTGGTTTCACCTGGCTTGTCAGCTATCTCTGTCACCTTACGTGAACTTTGGTTAATTACAATATTATTTACATTGCAGTTTTAAAATTTCTCCACCCTTGAAATCACCATGACAGTTCGAAGACAATGATATAAAGCATCAAAATGGGAAGGAACTCTATTCTAGGAATTACCACCCAAATTCTTAGTAAAAGCCAACCCCTTAGCCTTGAATATTCCTCCCCTCAATGAGTAAGATTTCAAAAGACCAAAACCACTTCCTTCAGGAGCAGCTGCTCTTTTCAGCCTGCCTGCACACTTTCTCTTCACAGGGTACTTTCAGTTTCAATTGAAAGAAGAAAAAAAAAAAAGCTGTCCCTTGCTTGGCTTACTCAGTGCATCCTGGAATTTTTCTTTTCCTGCAATTTTTCTTTTCCAGCAAGAACCTGGAAACACCCCCAACTAGAGGCTGCTAACAAAATGACATTTTTGAATCCCCAAACTCTTTGAATTCCTCGTCCTAAAATCCTTGCCTTGCCGTGTCCGCCAATCCTAAAACATTATATCACAATTCCTACCAAGTCTAACCAAACTGTCCCCCAGCTTGAAAGACCCGCTTTATGCCAGACTTCAAACTCAGAATAAATATCCCTAAAGCTCTTCCACACCTGAGATGCTAGTGCCTCTGTCGAGGTAGTGCTCTGCCTTACAGCATCATGAAATTATGTCAGTGTTGTCTTAGGAACGGGTTATTTGATAATTGGGGAGAACAGTATATGATGACCATCGTCACCAATGCTGTACATCATATGACAGTAGACTGAGCCCAGACCCTAGGACCAATATCTATGGATGTTTCTGAACCACACACTGCCTGAATGACCACAGACATATTTAGAGAACTCGGTTACCAGTCCAGAAATTTAAAAGTGCAGTAACACGACCAAGAGAAAGCAAATAGTGTGGGAATGTATTTATTCTATATAAAGAGTTAAATTCATTGCAAGCATGATGAAACACCAAGAACCAGGGAAGGAAGTGATTAATCAAAGCATGTATAAAACAGATACTAAATTCTTAATCTCTATTTCTGTCACTGTAGGTCTTTCTGAGACATCCTCCACTAAGGGCCACATGGGCCTATTTGTCCCTAAAGTTTCTGGATGCGGATGCATAAGAATGGTTGAGCGGCAGGGGCGGAAAAACTCTCTTTACATACCTTTCTTCATACTCAGAAGACTCAGGGGATGCAGGTCTGCGGAAGATGGGAAAACCCAGCCCACACCACAGGTGTCCAAGTCAGTGCGCATGCTCCCTTCCACACAAGGCTGTTGTTGCACATGCGCCTTGCTTTCCGCCTGCTGCGCACAGAGCTGTGGAGGGAGAGGTGGCGTCTTGGTTCTCTTTGGCTGAGAGTCGGTCGCTAGGTAGGCACTACTCCTCCCAGCAGTTTAAGTGTGAGTGAGCAGAAGCCAGAGGGCTGCGGGCGGCAGGGCTGGGCGCTCCGTAGCCGTGGGGGAAGGTCCTGGACGTCGTGGTCCTTCTCCTCACAGGCAGCGCCGCCGCCATGGGCCTTGTCCACGTGGCGGGGCTGGGACAAGGGAGGAGGGCTCCACGGAGGGGATGGGTCAGGTGAAGATGGGGCGAGTACTGGGGGTGGTGTTCGAGGTATCTGAGTCCCGGGGACGCCCGGGACCCCAGCACAACCAGAGGACAGATCCCAGGTCCTTAGTAGGGGGCGGGGCGGGGCGGGCGGTAAGCAAGGGCCTGGAAACTGGACACCCTGCGGGCTGGCGACCTCGTCCCCGAGGTCTGTGCAGCACCCCGCAGTGGTGCCGAGTGAGGAGCAAGCCGATCACTCATGTCCCAACTTCTCACCTCCGGATGGAGGTTTGGAAAGGGTCGTAGAAGACGCCACGGGAAGGAATGGGCGGGGCCTTGCGCTCCAACAAAACTCGATTTGAGTGGGCACGTGGGCCTAGTGAGTGGGACTGCGAGGAAAGTAGCGGGCGCTCCGGTTTTAATTTGCTAGCCATATTTTCCCAAAGGTGTCCATGATGAGAGTGTAGCTGTGAAACCATTGTTCTGCCAGCTTGGCCAACAGAAATGGCTTTGCAAGCACTGAGTAGGTGTACATGCTTATGTTTACCTTGGGACTTAATTTGAAAGTATTTTGAGAATTTACACAAAAAAATTCCAAGTTAACATTTGGCCATGGAAGTGGTCAGATATAGCTGTCCTCTTAGGTTCCTTTTCCCAATCACAATATTCTGCTTTCAGTGTGAAATATGAGTGAGCAAGTAAGATTAACATCTAAATCTGGAGCAGGAGGAGATGAAGAACAAGAATCTTCTCAGCCAGTTGAGCCTCTGTTTGTGAGTGCCTTAATATTCAATGTTTCTGTTAAGAGAAATTTATTTTTGAGAAAATGGTGTTGAATAGTATAGATATGCTGATAAAGGTTTTTCATGCTGATAATGGGTGACAATTGGTGTCCTGAAAGACGTATTCATCCAGGAAGATTACATTCTGCTGTTGCCTGGATGGAACATTCCTGGGAAATATGCCCCACGACTGCCTTCTCGTGTTTACTAACAATAGATTGCACACATCCATCCTAGCATAGATTAAAATATCCTCCAAAATTGTTGGAGCTAGTTCTTCATGGTGTGACCTCTATGTGGGAAGAGTAACTTTATGAAGAAAAAATATATAGAATCATGTTGAAAAATTTCTTTAGACTTAATTATGATTAGGTATATCTATGTGTATACAAGATAAGTATAGTTGTTACATGTATTAACGACAAAACTTTTTGTTTTCACACACACTCCAATAGGCCCAGCAGCCCAATGAGGAAGAACCTCAGCAAGAGGAGCCACCAGCTGAAACTCAGGATATTGCACCTGGTCAGGAGAACGAAGATGGAGTAGCACCTGAGGTTCAAGATGAAGGTAAAGGGAAGAAAAATGCCAGTGAGGGTAAGGTGTATGTTTACATTATGACCTAACCAGTAAGAGTAGGAAAGGAAACATTAGAAAAAGATATCAAACATTTCCTGAACGTTGGCTCGAAAAAGTGAAGAATATAATTTGCAGCTTTGTGTACTCCCTTACTATAAACAATTTTCCCTTTGTCTTTGGGACTTATTTAATGTGCTTGAAAATTCCTTTCTTGCCAGAAAATCCAAGGGAACAATGTTTAATATCAGTCATAAACTTGTACACTATTACTTAGTCATTGCATCAAAAGGATAAGCACCTTTTAATAGCATATATAAAGTACGAAGTGAACATACTTATAACACCTGAAATAAGGCCTGTTAATGTAGGTTTGTTAAACCCCTTTTCTAAATGAGAAAACTGAAGCTCAGGGATTGTGTCTTACCAAAGAGCACTTAACGAGTAGAGGCAGATTATTACTTCATTCATAAAATAGTATTTTTCCCATCATCTCTGTTTTTATAAGAAAAAGTGAATAGTTTTGCCTAAAATGTTTAATACTCAAATGTGTTTGTATAGTAACATCACTCAGTACTGGCCCAGGAAAAAACACAGTTCAGTGCAGCATAGAGACTCCAAAAAGAGCTCAATGAATGATAGCCACTGTTTTGTTTTGTTTTGTTTTTTGAGACAAGATTTTACTCTGTGAAGTGATGTCATCATAGCCCATTGCAACCTTGGATTCCTGGGCTCACGCAATCCTTCTGTCTCAGCTTCCTGAGTAGCAGGGACTACAGGCACAAGCTACCATGCCTGGCTAATTTTTCTTTTTCTTCTTTTTTTTAATTTCATAATATTATGGGGGTACAAATATTTTGGTCACATAAATTGCCATTTCAGTCGAAGTTACAAGTGTGTCATGATTGCAAAGATGTGGAAACAACCCAAGTGCCCATCAATACATGAGTGGATTAATGAAATGTGGTATATGTGTACCATGGAGCACTACTCAGCTCCATGGTTTTCTTTTCTTTTTCTGTCTTTTTTTTTGTGTGTGGAGATGGGGTCTAAATCTTCTCAGACTGATCTTGAACTCCTGAACTTAATCATTCCTCCCACCTTGGCCTCCCAAAGTGCTAGGATTACAGGTTGTGAGCCACCACAACTGTGTTGTCTTGTTTACTTTTGTTTTTTGATTGATACCTTTTTACACTAGGTTTGGTAAAAGCTGGATAATTTCAGGATACTGGAATATAGGTAGCTATATTAGTATGATTTCTAAGTGTCTTTTAAAGAGTGTTTAAATACTTTTATGATTAGAAAGATTAGAAATATCCTAAAGATTATCATGAAACAGAAATTATTTCTTAAAAATATAATATTTTTAAGCTAAACACTTACATAATTCACGCTATGGATTATTTCAGCAATTCACTGTTAAGAGGTTTCCAAAATATGACTGACAGCAGTACTCATTAATTTCTTTCTACCCCACTTCTTTATTCAGTAATTTTGCTGTTATTTTTCTATTAGTCACAAATAATTTTGCTGTTATTTTTGATACTATGGTCTTCTACATAGGATTCATTTATAGAATGTTACGTATAGGGCTTTTGGACCTATATATAACTAAATTTAACAAAATAAATTCTGCTTATGCCAATAAGGGACAAGTGTCAAGATTTATCATAGACCTGAAAATCTACTCAGCTAATCCTTCAGAAAATTACATTTAAATCCTATCCATATAGTGTAGCCTTCAGATTTCTTAGATAGCTGATGTTCCCTCCTTTTAATACACTATAGTAAAATATAGGAAATGTAGATGTAATATGGTTTATCCTTAGATTGTCATGTAAAATAAGGTTTAATAATACAGGAAAACAAAGATGTGAAGTTGCTGTCAGTGTTGCAAAAACAACTCATTTCTTCCTGAACTATAATCAAACTATTGTATATATTATTTTTACTTTATGTTTTGAAAAAATAAAACTTACAGAAAAGTTACAAGAATGGCACAATTAAATTTCATGTTCTTTTCACCTAGATTCACCAATTGTTATACTTTTTGGCACATTGCTTTCATAGACACCTTCCTCTTCCTTTCCTTCTTTTCTGCCTCACACTCTCAAATACCTACTTATATCCCCCTCTCCCTTTCTTATATATATATATATATATTTTTTTTTAAATTTATTTACATTTATTTTAAATTAATTTTTTCTTTATTTTTTTAGAACAAATGCAAGTGTGTATTCTTATATATATTTATATTTATATATAGACTTAATGATATTATGTTTATTATTACTATTTTTTCTTTCGGCGTATTATGGGGGTACAGATTTTAAGGTTTCAATAAATGCCCTTTCCCCCAATCCCCCACAAGTCTAAGTTTCTAGCATGACCATCTCCAAGATGGTGCACATCTCACTCATTATGTATGTATATACCTGCTCCCCTCCCCCCTGCCCAATACCCTATTACTGTACTACCTATGTGTCCACTTAGGTGCTGCTCAGTTAATACCAGTTTGCTGGTGAGTATATGTGGTGCTTGTTTTTCCATTCTTGGGATACTTCACTTAGTAGTATGGGTTCCAGCTCTAACCAGGAAAATATAAGATGTGCTATATCACCATTGTTTCTTAGA